GGGATTTTTTTTTTATAGCTGATATAAAAAAAGTTGAAGTGTGTTGAGTTTGTGCATGGAGTGTGAATCTGGTAGGACCACAATCACATTGTCATTATTTTGATCCATATTTTTCTATTCATCAAAATATATTCGTCATCCTTTGGAAATCGAAAGAAATTCAGATTTTGATTTTGATAGGTGCAGTTTATAGTAGAACACCATTGACATTTCGTGCTAACCGGGGCCATGCTTGTCTGAGACCAACGACAATGCCTTGAACAATGTACGCAGTTTGTTTTGTTTAGCGCGCGTTTCTCCACGATCAGCTGGTGACCCAGATACGCGCATCATCCGGGCAAAGTGCCTTCTCTCTAGTGACTATACCTATTACGACATTACAGTCAGTCCACATTCTCGGCAATATAACTTGACTGCGATCTTTTGATATATTGGGGGCTCTCGTGGCCAAGAGGTTAAGGTGTTGGCCTCTCATTCAAAGGTCCCGGGTTCGAATCCGGGTATCGACCGAAAATTTTCTTCTCTAAAAAATCTCCTTTCGCCTTTCACCTCCTTTCCTGCTCTCTAGCAATGTTCTGTTGTCTACGTTCGTTTCCACTTTCTGCCCCCACCCCCCTCACCTCCTTTGCCCCCTCCTCTGGGCTCCTTGACTCTTTCTGCAGCCTTTCTACTGCTACTCCTTGGCTCCTCCTTACTGCTGTCTTTCTGCCACACTCCTGATCTTCTGGTAGGAAAGATCTACATCTAGCCTTCTCGGACAAGGGCGAAAAATCTCGGAGGGCCTTGGTGGTCTAAAATCGATAAGAGTAGGCTTCGGCCGCCACCCGGGCAAAATTCAAAATTTTCTACCAACTGAAAATATTAGGTGTGTCCCGCGCGCTCATGTGACCTTATGCAGTTGCGAGCGCCGTAAAACACTTTACAAAAAAACAACAACAACAAAAAACATTTGATTTATTGCACTGGGCAATAGTGAAATGCTATACAGGTATATTTTCCCTGAAAACAAAATTAAGCCGTTACGGATTTCACACCTTCGCTTATTGAAAAAACTTACCGTGGTTAAAACAAGATACAAGCAAATCGCTCTGTTTTATCTTCTCGGGTCTTTGCATGCAGGTCTAAAAGTTGTAAGACCAACAGAATATAAAAGTCCATTAATAAAAATAACTGAAAACTAAAGTTCCGACACGTTTTCTTTGAAGTAAGCCTGACATGAATCAGTCATATTTGTTAATTTGCAGCCTACATCTACAACAGAAAAAGTTGACTACAGTCAAACCAGGGGCGGCTCGTGGGGTTAAAAAGTGGGCGTGCACAATTAAGCAACAGCAGGTTGAAGATAGTCAAGGGCATAGTAAATGGTAGGATCTTTGAGTTGGTGAAGGGGGACCTTATGCTTTTATTTTCATTCTTTTTGCTGGTCGCTTTGATTTCTAGAACTAAATCTGTTAGTTAGCTAAACATCAATTTCCTTTATTTCGCATCGGAACTGAACACTCGAGTAATAACTTTCACCACTTCACTACAAAACCATTCAAAGGCGCAACACATAGGGCGGTGACTTAAGTATGTCTACTGAGTCTTGGCGTTCACCCCCCTCAGGTTCAAGGTCACAGAGTCGCTTAAAATAGCGGCAAGACAATGAACCAATCACAATTCACTTGAGCACTCTGCTGGATTGCTCCGGGGATCACATAATTTTGGCATTGAATAGTGTACCCAAGGGTGTACAGGCTATCGCGTTTATTTTTAGACTGCCTACTGTGGGCTATGTTTCGTGGGTGCACATTTGAAATGTGCCGTCTTGTTAATATTAATGTACCGCCAAACTCGCTACGAGTGACGTCATCGATTGGGTTATCCCAAAGAGTGCGATTTATAGGTCAGATTGCCACTGTTGAATAATAATATTCTATTACGTTTAGTTAAAGCACCTGGATTTTGGCATGGCATAGTAGATGTTTTACGGCGCTTTTGACACAGAAATGACAGTTACAGCGCCATCGAGGACCTTGTTTTGATATTATATTTGGCTAGTGTTTATTTCTGACGTCTCTTATTTCATGTTTGTGGGTGCTTTTCGTAAAATAACATTTAAAAAATTTGGGCGGCACTGCACGACCGTGCTCTATGGACGAACCGCGCCTGAGTCAAACCTGTGTAAGACGGCCACCCATTGTCAAGGAGGAAAGGGGCCGTATAAGACAGGTGGCCGTCTTAGGCAGGACTGATCAAGATGAAGAAAACAAACCATTCCCATCTGAGGTCCCAATTGAAAGTAGCCGCATTGTTTTTGTTTTTGTTGTTGTTGTTGAGTAATTGGTTTGTATTTTGTTTATAATTTTTATTTTTTTGCTGATTTTGCACAAGGTTGACAATGAAACGAAATGTATTAGACGAGGATGACCGAGTGCCATGTTAAAACAAACACATGCATGGGTCGCTACCACTCGACCCTGAGAACGAGCGATGCTTCTGTCACAAGTTCGTGTTGACGTCCGATGATGGAATTCAGATTAATTAATAATGCGTTAATAAATTTTAGCTTGCAAAAGGTTTTTTTTTTAATCATGAGAGCAACAGCCTAGAGAAGTAAAACAGACAATATCTATCTGTTCCTCTTGGTACTGTAACAGTATTCATGTATGCAGGTGAGCGACAACGTCCACATTAGATTAGCCTACGTAGTACGAATGGACAGTGAACGCGAGTATCCATTTTGATAGCCATGACTTTTGTATTACGGGTTCCACCGTCCGCATTAAGTGTTCCAGGGCTGTCAGTATTGATGACACAAGCGAGACTGTCTCTTTCGAAGAAATTATTTTACGATTTTCATGACCAAAAATATGCTATGGACTAGGTTTGTCTCTGCCTTCATTTTCTATTTCTTGTGAAAGACACAAATACATGATTGATTATGCTACATTAGAATCAAAATGTCTGCGAGGCTTCAGGAAAATTAATATCCAAGTTTCTTTCTACGAACACTGTCGAACATACACCATCACACACACACACACACACACACACACACACACACACACACACACACACAC